ACCCGGGATAAAGGCAGGTCTCATCTGAGAAAACTGTGCCTGAGACAAAGACCATAAGAGACTAATGAGTGATGGACCAAACCAAAGCAACTGAGGTTGTTTAATGATGGTGGGAAGTTATTACCTGCAGCTTAGCCCTTCTTTCTTCCTTCCTCTGTGCAAGAGCAACATACAACGGTTTGCCACTAACCATTTTACCATTCATTTCATTTAGCTGCAAAATACCCCAAAAGCATATACATAAAGAGATAAAATAAAGAATGATAACAGTTTACAAGTGTCTGAACACAGGATAAGTTATCATACCACTCTAGAAGCTTCACTGGCAGCAGAGAAGGCAACAAATCCTGATCCTTTGCTAGCACCACTTGGGTCTTGCATAACCTATTTGTTTATAAAGTAAGAGAACAAAAATTGAATCTCTGAATCTCTAATAGTTAGTATGTACGCTAAAAGCACCAAGACTGACCTTGCAGGAAGTAATTGTACCAAACTCAGCAAACAGCTCATGCAACTTCTCATCCGTGACAGTATCATCAAGATTCTTAACATACAAATTCAACCCATCGAAATCGTTTCCCATCTCCCTTGCGCCTTGCTCATATCTTCTACTCAACTCAAGTTCCCTCTCAGACTTCTTCTGAGCCTTACCTACATACCACTCCTTATCATCAAACTTCTTCCCATTCAGCTTCTCAATAGCGTTTTTAGCTGAATCCTCACTCTCAAACTGAACAAATCCATATCCTTTAGACTGACCCATGTGATCAGTAGCGACCTTACAGGACACAATACTCCCACACCCTGAAAACGTCTCGTGAAGTGTCTTGTTGTCAACTGACTTGTCAAGATTCTTAATGAATAGGTTCCCAATCCCACTTCTACGAGCAGCAGAGTCACGAGAAGAGTAAGTAATACGAATCATCTTGCCCTTAAGATTAGTGTAGTTCAGCTTCTTCAGTGCCTTCTCCGCTGTTATTACAATACAAAACAAGAGGATCATGTCCTTGCTGCCGTCGATTTCGCAGAGCTTCTCGATCAAAACCCTAGACACAGAAACAGATTGTTAGGTGACTCGGGTCTGCAGAGAAGAGAGAGGGCTCGAGAATTGAAAAATTACCGGAGATCTGAAGCTTTCGCCGGGGAACATCGTAGGAGAAGAAGGATGAGAGAGAGAGAGAGAGAGAGAGAGAGAGAGAGAGAGAGAGAGAGAGAGAGAGAGAGAGAGAGAGCGAGAGAGAGAGAGAGA